GTGCAAGTTTCTATAACACAGACAATGGTTGGTAGCCACAGAGTGCAGGCAATAGTTTGTTGTTGCTGCTCTTCATCTCGTTCTTTGGGTTTTGTTTTTCTTATTTTCTGTTCTTGTATGTATATTCTTTCACTTAGCTGAACATAAAACAAGATTTGTATGTAACACTATTGCTTGAGCTTGAGAGTTTTTATATAGTGTTTGGAGTTTTTTCATTTGCAGAGTTAAAAATGACATGTTTCTTTCAAATCAGAGACCAGATAGTTGTTGCATTTTTTCTAATTAGTTACCACCAACTTGGCTATCTATTCATCTTCCATTCCATAGTGGTAACAGAACATTTGTTTTAAAAATTTGAAATATATAAATTAATAATGGGTCCCCATTATTTATCTGTTGAAAAATGAAAATGTAATTTATGATGTGTTATAGAATATTGAGAAAAAAGTATCATGGGTGAGAAAAGGCATTATTCATAGTTTTGGAATCGCCCCAAAACTTTTCAAAATTGGACCAACCAAGTTGAGTTGGTTCGTTGAATCGTTTTTCTCTAAATATTATTATAATCAGCCTTCCTTTTGGTTGCCCTATCTTCTTCTTCTCTGCAACGTGATCCGGCTCGCAACTCTCTCCACCTTCGTCTCCCAAGGTACGTTTTACAGATTCGTTAATTCTTCTGATCTGAGAAATGCTCACTCTGATGATTCTCTTTGATCAGTGCAGTGGTAACTGTTAGGTAGAAGGAACCCCCCATGGCGATTTACGTCGCGTCACGGCGTCTCTCCAGCGGAACAGCCGCGGCGACTCTGCGTTATGCCACCGCTATGAGATCTTATTCAAACTCCTCGTTTAGGGAGGAGAGGGACACCTTCGGGCCGATCCAAGTTCCTTCCGATAAGTTCGGGATCTCATCTTCTTCTTCTTTTTTACTTGTTGGATATCTCATTTCTTCATCATTTCATATGAGTGCTATTGTGTGTCAGGTTGTGGGGAGCACAGACGCAGAGATCTCTGCAGAACTTCGAAATCGGAGGCGAGCGCGAGCGTATGCCCGAACCTATCGTCCGCGCTTTTGGCGTCTTGAAGAAGTGCGCTGCCAAGGTTACCTAATTATCTTATAGGTTTTCGAGGATTTTGCAGTTCATTTGCGTTTGGTGATGAGCTTGAGTGATTTAGGTTAACATGGAGTATGGACTTGATCCAACGATTGGGAAAGCGATTATGCAAGCTGCTCAGGAAGTAGCTGAGGGCAAACTCAATGATCATTTCCCCCTTGTTGTTTGGCAAACTGGTAGTGGCACTCAGAGTAATATGAATGCTAATGAGGTCCATTTCTCTCTTTGCCACATCTTTCTTTTCATCTGTGTCATTGTATACTAGTGCTTACGATACAAGGCTTTTGCTCTTTAATTTTGCTGCAGGTCATTGCTAACAGAGCAGCTGAGATTCTTGGTCGCAAACGTGGTGAAAAATGTGTCCACCCTAATGACCATGTCAACAGATCTCAATCTTCTAATGACACTTTCCCTACTGTAAGCTTTTTCTTTCAATTACTTGCGCGCTATGTGTTTTTCCTACTGTATTATTGATTTTGTTTTTGTTTTCCTCCTCTAGGTCATGCACATTGCAGCTGCAACCGAGATTAATTCAAGGCTCATCCCTAGTTTGAAAACTTTGCATTCCACTCTCGACTCTAAGGTTCGACCCCTCTTCTCAATTGAGGAACATCTTCTGAGCTTCTTTTTTCATTAATCCAGCTTTTCTAGACCTATGTATTCCTCTTCGCATTTCTGTTAATTTTGCTCTGTATTCTGAAATCTTCCAAACTTGTCTCGTTTCTGGTAGTCCTTGGAGTTCCAAGATATTGTCAAAATTGGAAGAACTCACACTCAAGATGCTACTCCGTTGACTCTAGGACAAGAATTTGGTGGCTATGCTACTCAAGTATGTTGTTTGTTCAAAAAATTGTGTGGTGTCTAGCAAAACTGAAAAGTCAGGAATTCGTTTTTAAAATTGGATCTCATGATTGCAGGTTAAGTATGGACTTAATCGAGTCACATGCACTCTCCCCCGCCTCTATCAGGTTTGATACATGATTTCTTCGGGGGGTCTGATTTGCTCTACTTTTCCAATTTTCATTGAGCTCTAACTTCCCAGAAATGTTTGGCCAGCTTGCACAAGGTGGAACAGCTGTTGGAACAGGATTAAACACCAAGAAAGGGTATATCTCATTTTAAAATATATATATTTACATCTCAAGTTCATCTCCTTATAGTCCACTGATGGTAATACCTGTTCAGGTTTGATGTAAAGATAGCTGCTGCAGTAGCCGAAGAAACGAACCTGCCGTTTGTCACTGCAGAAAACAAGTTTGAAGCTTTGGTGGGCCTCTAAACGAGATAAGATGCTTTTATATTCTTAATATATGAAATCAGGTTCTGAGTTTTTCTGCTTTTACCAGGCTGCACATGATGCTTGTGTTGAAACCAGTGGGTCACTTAACACAATCGCCACATCGTTGATGAAGATTGCCAATGATATACGTTTTCTTGGAAGGTAATCTTCACGGACTCGTTTTTTTTAAATCTTGATTCAAGACTTACAATAAATTCTTATGGAGTAAACATGTCTTTATATAGTGGTCCAAGATGTGGTCTTGGTGAACTTGTTCTGCCTGAAAATGAGCCAGGAAGCAGTATCATGCCTGTATGAATGCAGTCGTCCTCATTTCTGTCTTTGGAGTTAATTTATATTTGCATGAATTTAATCGTTATCTGTCTCTCTCCATCTCAGGGGAAGGTAAACCCTACACAATGTGAGGCCTTGACTATGGTTTGTGCTCAGGTAAAGTTCTATTCATCTGTACATTCTTACTGACATAGGAATAAAAATTGTTTCTGACTCTATTGAGTTGTATCCTACAAAATTGCAGGTTATGGGCAACCATGTAGCTGTGACAGTTGGTGGGTCCAATGGTCATTTCGAATTGAATGTATTTAAGCCGGTGATCGCAAGCGCTCTCTTGCATGTACGTTAATCTCTCTCTCCCTTGTGCATCTATTTCTTATAAAATGTTCCAGTCTCTTAACCAATTGAACTTGCGTCTTTGACAGTCCATCAGATTAATAGCAGATGCTTCGGCTTCGTTTGAGAAAAACTGTGTGAGGGGCATTGAGGCCAACAGAGAAAGGATCTCAAAGCTATTGCACGAGGTATATTGGGCTTCTTCTCATTAATTTGCTCGTCTCAAAAATACTGATAATGATCTCCGGGCAGGAACTGATTCTTTGTTTTTAATGTATTTTTTTCTGGATCTGTAGTCTCTTATGCTTGTGACATCATTGAATCCGGTAAGTCTCCAAATGTTTACCTCTGCCTTTTCTTTTTTTATACAAATAAATTTAACTCACTGCACAATTTGGTCTCCTTTTACTAGAAAATCGGATATGACAATGCTGCAGCAGTTGCCAAGAAAGCTCATAAAGAAGGATCAACATTGAAGGTAAACACAACATTCTCTTTATGCTTCATCAGGAAATTAAACGTACTTGAGAATAGTTTAAAATGTATTTGCAAGAAGGAAAGAAGAGTTCTATAAACAGGCTATTTGACTGCATCAGTTTGTTTAATCTCTGATTTTTAAATTTATCATACAGGAAGCGGCTCTGAAGTTACGTGTTCTAACTGCGGAAGAGTTTGATACCCTTGTTGTTCCCGAGAAGATGATTGGTCCCTCCGATTGATGTTGAGCCCCAAAGCTTCATCTGCCATGTCTAATTCTTGTTAAGGTTGTAATAACCAAATAAGCAAACAATAATTCAAATTTTGCTTTGGAAGAGCAACGTTGTTCTTCAATTCTTGATGTATTTGTTGAATAAGAATAACTATTCATTGTGAGGAAGAAGGAAAGATGATCCTGAATGAAGTAAGCTGAGTTTATGTGTAATAAAGTAAGGTCAGGCTTTGGGTATGAACTCGACGATGGCTATAGTTTACCCGTGGCCAATATTGTGTTGTTAAGGCCTATGGTGGCTGTGATGCCGAGCCACACGCTTTAAGTTGTTCAGATTTAACACACTAGCTCTGTATCGTCTGTTTAATATGGGTTCATATTAAACTAGTCCACAAATTCGGTTTAATTTAAAATCAGATTTATTTGATATGGGCCTCTTACATTAGCCCAAGTATTCGTTAAAATATATCTGGAAGGCCCAAAAGCAAGTTTTCGCCACGCGCTAAAGCGAAGGTGGAGTGGTCCGCAGCGCCCCCACTTGTAGGGCAGAAATATAATAGTATGAAATTTGAGAAAACAGAGGACATCCAATGTATCTGTCTGAACACTTTTCCGTTTTTGCTGGATTTGTTTTCTCTCTTTTTATATCTTTTATTTATTTTCTGTCCAAATCAATCAATTTTTGGTTCAATGGATCTTCCTTTTTTCAGTCTTCTTCTTCTTTTTTTTTTATTGTCAATTCTTTTTTTATTGACTTTCTTCAAATTACTAGTTAAAAAAACAACTCGTTTTATTTCCCCCCTTGAAAAGATGTGTATGTTAGTTCATTATTTTGGACCAGCTTTTATGTGTATGGCTAAATAATTTTAAAATTATTTATATCATTGACAGAAAGTGCATTTGCTCTATTAAAATAAGTAGAAGTTGTAGAAACATTGCATCTGAACATGGAAAAATCGATAAAGGTAAAAGAGAGGAGAGTCCGAATAAAATATAATTGAACGTACCACTAGAGATTAGAAGTCCCTAAATTCAGCCAATTATGTACCGACAGCTCACCATTGATTCGCACGTATGGATTGAATTTTTACGCTTGTAAAGTCCACGTCATCTTTAGCACGTGCCATCCGTGACGCTTTTTTCTCTCTCTCCCTCCCCCCAGTTTCACTTTGATTCACTATCTGTCGTCTCTTTTTCCATGAAAAGCTAAGACGACGAGAGATCTCTGACTCTGCGTTGAAGAGAGCCTCTCCATTTCTTCTTAAGCTGCGACGTTCCCTCTTCCTTCGACCTTTCAAGGTTTGCCATCTCTTCTTCTTCTTCTCCTTCAGTTCGATCGTCGTTTAAACGCTTTTCCCCTGCTCGAATCTGTGCAAGTTTTTGTAAGTTTGATGAGAATCTCCTTAGATTTAGGCGAAGATTTAGCAGAGATTTTCTCTCACTGCTTTAGCATTTCTTCTGATCCATTTAAGTTTCTCAGATCGGACTCAGATCAATCTTTATATGCTTCCGATTTACTCTTTAGCGTTTATGATTTGCTTATAGAGCAGATTTCACCAGACTCCAACGTTAATGTTGAAGTTAAAATAAAATAAAATAAACGTATTGATGTGTTTGAGCAGGTCAAGCGAGAGGTCCAATCTCCGAGAAATGGAGCCGTGTGATTGTGGTTTTGAGACACATGCGAATCAGGACGATCTCTTAGTCAAATACCAATACATCTCCGATGCGCTCATTGCTCTTGCTTACTTCTCCATCCCTCTCGAGCTCATCTACTTCGTCAACAAGTCTGCCTTCTTCCCTTACAAATGGGTCCTCATGCAGTTTGGTGCCTTCATCATCCTCTGCGGCGCCACACACTTCATCAACCTCTGGATGTTTTTCAACCACTCCAAAGTCGTTGCCATCGTCATGACCATCGCCAAAGTCTCCTGCGCAGCTGTCTCCTGCGCCACTGCGCTCATGTTGGTTCACATCATCCCTGATCTTTTGAGTGTCAAGAACCGCGAGTTGTTTCTCAAGAAGAAAGCCGACGAGCTTGACAGAGAGATGGGTCTTATTCTGACCCAGGAGGAGACTGGTAGGCACGTCAGGATGCTTACTCATGAAATCAGAAGCACTCTTGATAGACACACTATTCTGAGGACTACGCTCGTTGAGCTTGGTAAAACTCTTTGCCTCGAGGAGTGCGCCTTGTGGATGCCCTCTCAGAGTGGTCTTTATCTTCAGCTTTCTCATACTTTGAGCCATAAGATTCAAGTTGGAAGCAGTGTGCCTATAAATCTGCCGATTATTAACCAACTCTTTAATAGCGCTCAAGCAATGCACATACCTCATACGTGTCCCTTGGCTAAGATTGGGCCTCCTGTTGGGAGATATGCGCCTCCCGAGGTTGTGTCTGTCCGTGTTCCTCTTCTACATCTCTCGAATTTCCAGGGAAGTGACTGGTCTGATCTCTCTGGTAAAGGTTACGCTATCATGGTCCTGATTCTTCCCACGGATGGTGCTAGAAAATGGAGAGACCATGAGTTGGAACTTGTTGAAGTTGTGGCGGATCAGGTCCATATCTTTCACTTTTTCATATATGTTATTTGTCGTGGGCCAAATCTGACTCTGACTCTCGCTTTGTTTATTCAGGTGGCAGTGGCTCTTTCACACGCAGCAATTCTGGAGGAATCCATGCACGCTCGTGACCAGCTTATGGAGCAGAACTTTGCCTTAGACAAGGCTCGTCAAGAGGCAGAGATGGCAGTACATGCTCGGAATGACTTCCTAGCTGTCATGAACCACGAGATGAGGACACCCATGCATGCCATCATCTCCCTGTCTTCTCTCCTTCTTGAGACTGAACTATCTCCAGAGCAGAGAGTTATGATCGAGACTATACTGAAAAGTAGCAATCTCGTGGCTACACTCATCAGCGACGTTCTGGATCTATCGAGATTGGAGGATGGAAGCTTGCTCTTGGAAAACGAACCATTCAGTCTCCAAGCGATCTTTGAAGAGGTAACTTATAATTATATCCTCCAGGTTAAGCAGTGAAGTCCATTATCTTTACAGAACGTAACTAGGTGAGCTTTGAATATGTAGGTCATCTCTCTGATAAAGCCAATCGCATCGGTGAAGAAACTATCGACGAATCTGATCCTATCTGCAGACTTACCGGCTTATGCGATAGGTGATGAGAAGCGTCTGATGCAAACAATTCTCAACATCATGGGAAACGCTGTGAAATTCACCAAGGAAGGCCACGTCTCCATAATAGCTTCTATCATGAAACCTGAGTCCTTGAGAGAATTACCATCTCCAGACTTCTATCCAGTTCCAAGTGACAATCACTTCTACCTATGCGTGCAGGTTAGTAGTTCCAACCAATCCACATAGTTATTAGCTTGGTAGTTCGTGCTTTTTGTAAATGTCAATGATATGGGTGCAGGTGAAGGACACAGGGTGTGGAATTCACACGCAAGACATTCCTTTTCTCTTCACCAAATTTGTGCAGCCTCGGACTGGAGCTCAGAGGAACCATTCTGGTGCAGGACTCGGTTTAGCTCTCTGCAAAAGGTAACGAAACAAATGTAGATCATATATTTGTAAGCATGTGGTGTAACAAAAGAGCTAAAGAACATTTGATGTGTGGGTAGGTTCGTTGGGCTAATGGGAGGATGCATATGGATAGAAAGCGAAGGGATAGAGAAAGGGTGCACGGCTTCGTTCATAATCAGGCTGGGTATCTGCAACGGTCCGAGCGGTAGCAGCGGTTCAATGGCGCTACGTCTTGCAGCTAAATCACAAACAAGACCATGGAACTGGTAATAGATACATTATATACGATGGATGGTGACTGCCACTGAAGAGAGCTTTTTGGGGTAACTATCACACAGCAGGAAGAGAAAGGAGAATGTATTATTATATACATGGCCGGAAGGGTTGGACTGATCTTAACTTATTGGATTTTTGTTGGATGTAATTTGTAAATAAAAATACATACATATATATATGTATGCCGGGAGGTGTATCTTTATAGATTTACCAGCGTTTGTTGAAGTTTTATCTTGAGAGAACATGGCATATGTACTAGTTCAAAGATGGACTCATGACTCTGTTTGTTTGAACAGCATGAGCCTATAAAATAAAAGAATGAACAGCATGAGCCTATGAAATAAAAGAATTAATTACCAGCTTCAATACAAACACGTACATTTGCACTTCGTTATATAGAAGAGAGGTTTGGTTTGTACCTGAGCTATGATCATTGCCCCAAAACTAGTGGAAAATAACGTTTCTTGACTACGCCGTAGTAAGCCAAGAACCCAAGTAGAGATCAGCGCTTGGACGGTATTTTAATTTCTGAGTATAATAATCGAATTGACGCCACCATGCCCTAAAATAGTAGTAGCAAATATATATCACGATTTTATATTTTTCGTATGGCAAAAGAAAAGAGACAGATTATCGTGGAATAAAATTGAACGTAATTAAATAATCTATAATTAGTGGCTGCACGTCCTCTAATGCATAATAATCATGCAATGGTTGGGGATAATGAGCTAAAACGTGCGCCCAACTCACATCCCTTATTCTCTCATATATACTATAATTTTGGACTTGTCGCTAAACCCCTATATAACACTCTCATTGTACGACATCTCGTTCGTCACATTTATACATCTATAATACAGTTTGAAAGTTGAATAAATCTCTCTCGTAAGTTAGAAACTAGAAAAATGGCCCTACATTGTTCGTTTTTCTTCATTCCAAGCATGCTGCTTCTCTCGTCACTGGTCGCCGCCGGAGCAGCCACAATCACCGACGGAGAACTACTTTCTTCTATGATCGGAGTTCAAGGTCTCATCTACTGTAAACAAGGATCCAAGCTTACCCCTCTCCAAGGTAACTTTTGTCATATACATATAACATAATTGACATGCATGCAGTGGCGGAACTACATGGGCAGTAACAGGGGCAGCTGCCCACCATAGATTTTGTAAAATTGGTGTAATTTTATACAGATTTTTAATTGTGCCCCTGTTAAAACTTCCAAGTTATTAAAGGTATAGATAGTGTTTTGTAATTTTTCCCATAATCAAAACTAATCCTAGATCCGCCCCTGCATGCATGTATATATAAGAAACGAGGTTGTATACTAAATTCCACACGTGGACAGGTGCGGTGGCGAGGGTGACTTGCGAGACTGCGGACGAATACGGTTACGAGGGAGAGGATGTGACGGTGCTTAGCCAAGCGACGGATGCTAAGGGTTATTTCCTGGCGACGCTATCTCCATCGGAGGTGAAGGGGTTAAAGAAGAAGGTGATCAAGATTAAAGAGTGCAGAGCGTTTCTTGAGCTTTCTCCAGCTGATACCTGTTCTTATCCGACGGAGATCAACCGTGGGATTAGCGGAGCCATTCTCCAGACATATCGTCTCGTAGAAAACAAGCTTAACATGAAGCTCTTCACCGTTGGCCCTTTCGTGTTCTCCCCTGAGGAAACTCAGGACAAGTCTATCCCCAATGGTTACTAAATATGATCCTTTTTCTACACATGATCATTTTGTGATCCCACGATTGTCAAACGTTGTTTTCTTTCTTATTGTTTAACATCCATCACTTGCTTCGTTGTTTTGAAATCAGCAGTATCAAGTGTTTATAATGAATTTGCAAATACAAATTCTTACATATACATATACCATATTTTCTCAGCAAAACTTTGCTAACAAATTGATGAATGAAAATATATTCGCCAGGTTTTAACTTTTACTTGCTAACAAATGAGAACTCCATTTTTCATACCAATGGATGTAGTTACTCTGATTAGCTAGCTAACATTACAACCTCAAAATCACTTAGCACAATCAGCCTACAAAAAATCTATTTGAAATACCCGATTTATCGACTAGCACGATTTTTAGAACTTACTTGTATTGATGATTTTTTTATTTATAACATGCGTGTACTGCTTGCATAGATACATCTTCTAATGTATTTTTTGTTGTGGTTTCTTGAACTCGTGTCTGACTATTTGATTGTCCGATTAGTATATTATTGTCTATTTTGATTTTTTTGCTAAGAAATTTTATTCTTGTATATTTTGTGTCTAAAAAACAAATTCAATTTGTTATTGAATTCTTTCCCAGAAAGTTTTATATTAATCAAAATTGGATATCTTATTATATATAAAATATTATTCTGTGTACACTTATGATGTGAGACTTACATTAACATCTCTCAGTTTTGAATAAAAAGTACATATAATGATATATCCAACTATATATTACATTCAGGGAAAATTGCTTCATGTACTCTGTATTGTTATTTCAGTGAAGAGTGATTACTACTCCAGTTTTAGAAGAAGCCAGCATCCCGCGGAAGGCACATGCTGCTTATCCGCGTAAGTACTGAACAACTATCACTGCTAGTGGGTTTTGCTTTAAGTATAAAACGAAATTATACTTTATACAAATGATCATTCCATTACTAAGGTCGTTTACATTTTTTTAGTTACGCAAACACTACTTCAACTCCATTGGCATTGCCTGAATTCTTCACGCGTTGTATGAGAATAATGTCGCCGTTTCAAGACTTTCTTTATCCAGAGAGGGAAATTCGGGATCCCCAAACTTGAGAACTGAGACACGGTTTAATTTAATAATAAGTCAACGTCAATGTCCTACCAAATTAGTTTTACAATATATCCAAATGAGAATATTTAAAAAAATATATATTTCGTTGATCTAACCACCGTCACCGTTTCGATTAAATTTTTCAAAAAGTATGTACAAAAACATAATAAGTAACCATAATTGCAATTTTAACAATAATTAATAATTTAAAACCAATACCAATTTAAAAATCAATAAATATTTATTTAGTTTTAAAATTCATTATCATTAACTAATAATATATATACAAAGTAAAAAGTATATTGTAAAATACTCATGCGTTATTTAAGAAATGACGTTTTAATATCGTTGATAATATTTTTCTTACATTTTTATAACAAAATCATTAGTTATTTTACTTTTCTAACTAGGATAAGACCTGCGCCTTGCGCAGGGTGAATATATGTAATTAAAATATAAAATTTTAATATTCACAAATTTAAAATTTACATATGATTGTTTTTGTATGTATTTGAAATTTTAGAATTTTGGAATTTTTATATAATTATCTATACGTATGATCAAAAACAATTTTAATTAGAAATGTAAATCAAATCT